GATCATTACCTTCATCATCTACAGCACAGTTACACTGATCAGCTTCATCATCTACAGCACAGTTACACTGATCATTACCTTCATCATCTACAGCACAGTTACACTGATCATTACCTTCATCATCTACAGCAGTTACACTGATCAGCTTCATCATCTACAGCACAGTTACACTGATCATTACCTTCATCATCTGCAGCACAGTTACACTGATCATTACCTTCATCATCTACAGCAGTTACACTGATCAGCTTCATCATCTACAGCACAGTTACACTGATCAGCTTCATCATCTGCAGCACAGTTACACTGATCAGCTTCATCATCTGCAGCACAGTTACACTGATCAGCTTCATCATCTACAGCACAGTTACACTGATCCTCACCTTCACCTTACAGAGCTCTGAGCAAGTCAATCTAAAATAAATTCTTTTTGTTGATGAAATATTGATATTTGTTTGACTATTTAAAACTAAAGCCCTCAAAGCTTCTGCTCTGATTGAATTCAGTGTTGTTTTCTCAGTAGGACATGATGGTTTTCACACTGGAGAAATAATCAGACTTTAAGTGTTTTCATGAATTAGAACAGAAGCTGAAATACCTGCAGAGAGCAAATGCTGAACTCCTTTTCTTTCTCGCTTCTTTTGAATTGGCTCTCTCCTCTAAAAGCTGTGTGTCTTTTAAAAATGAACCTGAGCTCCGTCTCGCTCCATTTGGACATTTTCATTCCTTTTCAGAGAGAAGGTGGAGGACAGTGCAGTATCCATGAAAGTCCTTTCTCTTTTGTTCTTTCTCTCTTTCAGATCTTTGGAGGTGACTTCACAGGAGGAACCAAAAAGATCGAATCCACTCTGTGATCCCGGGTTACGCCAGCAGTGTTGCTGCATCAGGTTTATGCAGTTTTCTCTGTAGCCTGAAAAGCACTAAATAAAGCCTGGAGACGAGTTTAACCCTTTCAGTCAGAGAACAGGGGCCTAACTGACTGAGGATATCTGCACTGCTGACAAAAGACCATTAGAACCTGATAGTTTTGCTCTGTAATGGGAATTGGCTTAATGGTTAACATTACAGACCACTAGTTTCCTGTAGAACACTTTTTGATCAAATTAGGAAATCAGTCAAACTGGAATCAGAACACCTGTTAAACCAAATCCTCTACACTGTATAATCAACCCATCAGCAAAACACCAAATACCATTAGAGGCTACTGAACACCACCAGAACCGGCAGAAATTCTTAATGGTTTCTATGATTTTTCTCAGCAGGGCACAGCATGCTAGTGTTAGCCGTTAGCTTGTTGTCCTCCTGATCTGTCGAGTTGTTTCTGTTGTTTGAATGATTCATGTAACGATGATCACAGCAGTTATATTACTGCCATAAACATATTCAGCTTTCTAGCAGTAACATTAGCTCCCAGCCTTCCTTCTGTCCACCAGCTAATGAAAAAAAATCTGCCTCAAAGTGTTTCTAGCTTTTCAGAGGTTTCTCCCACCTTTAACATACATCTTGGTGGGTGATTGGGGGGCTAAAAGAAGCGAACTGCAGATGCTGAACGTTGATCACATGTAGGGCTATACCTGTGCGAGTTTGGCTTCTCGCTGAACTGCCGCTTTAATGTACAGCCAGCAGCTCCGTGTTAACAGTAGGAAGATCCATCAGGTCTCCGTCAGGTTGTTTCTCCTCATTCGTTGGTTGGTTCGGTGCCGCTGCCGCTGTACAATCTGATGGAGACGGATGGTGCTGGTGAAAGGGGTGTGTTAGCAATTAGCCTTTAATTGGAGATTAGAGGAGAACGAGGAAAATCATTGGCTATTTTCTCTTTGAAACACTGTTTAATTAAAAGCCCTCAGCAGAATTTTAATTAGGACATGAAACGTACTCAATCTTCCCTCTAATCAGTGAATTAGTGTGTGTCAGGACCCGAACAACACAAAAACACACACACACACACACAATGCAGCCTTATATGTACACAATACTTTATCAAAGGAGCACATAAAAAAGACATTTCCCTCTTTATCTCCACTGGTCTGTCTTTACAGGCCTTTCAGTCTCAGCATAGCTTTGTTTTGTTTCAGATTTCTTTTCATTCAAATGAACAAAGATGGAGTCTCTGATATATCAAACAGAAAAAGCAACATCACAACACAACTGATTTCATTGTCGTTACTAATTACACTCTCCAAAAATAAATGCATTTAGAAATCCTTATTTTTGAAATAGTGATTAGAAAAAATACACAATGGACCCTTTTCAACGTGCACGGTACTGTGGGCGGCAAACAGTCCCACTTATTCAGGCTCAAGTTCAAACATCAGTAAAACTGCATCAAAATACTTTTACTTTTCTGTCTTTTACACAAACTTCAGCTTCACAAACTTACCAAAGCAACCTGTTCTGTACATATTCACTGTGTCTGAGCTAAAGGAGCTGTGAGAGCTGATAACCTGGAGATCTGGAGGAGTTTGACCATCTGCAGGCTAAGCAGAATCACAGGTAGCTTCCAACACATCAGTTAAGGAACAGCAGGACTGTAGGCTGTTGTTTAGTTTAGAGCTGTCAGTGTCGGTCCTTCCTACACATTCATACAACTACACAAACTACAGACACTGTTTAGCGCCCCCACCAGGCCAATAATAGGCAAGGAATTTACTCTCTATTATTTACTGTAGGTGTGGTTCTGAAGAGTATGATTAGCAGTTGCCCATCATGAACCAAAACTGTCACTGGTCATGACAAAGTGTGACAGCAGTTTCATTATTTTATTTTTAACCATCATCCCTTTTTGATTCAAATGGAGTTGCATTAAATTAGAGATCTGCATGAGGTGGGGTCACCTGTGGGTCCAGCGTCATCTGCTTAATAATTTGAGGGCAGTATTCATTGTGAGGCACCGCGGTCATTGCGGGTAAACGCAGCAGGTTGCGGGCTTGTGTGGGGGCCGTTAAGGCTGGCTGGGAGGGCTGGGATCGGACTGTTCCTGGCTGCATGTATAAGCGAACAAGCAAGAAATGAGCTGCAGAGAAAAACAGGCCTGCAATCACAAGCAGCAAAACACATGAAGCTACAGAACATCCAGTAAAAAACGTACTGGATATGCAAAATCTCACTGATTTTTTCCATTAAGATTCTTTTGGCTTTTTAAGTTGGGGCCTCAGCCTCTGTTTTGGCTTCAGATTTATTTCAGGTGACTTGTAGACGCCTCAAAGAGTGATCAAGTTCTGACGTGTAAGTAGCGAAGCCAAGCAGCTGCTATATTCTTTATTTTAGCCTGTGGTGCTGCTCGCTTGTTTGTTGACAGTGATGTCACGTGAGGCGACGGTCATTGTTTGGTGTCATTTGCAAGTTCACTTGGCTTTATTAGCCTAAGTGTTTATTACTGCTGCTGGGTGTTCGGAGGTGCGATGGGTCTGGAGGCCCCACTGTGCCACAAGGTTTGTGTGGACACATCCCACACCAGCAGAGTGGGTTACAGCAAGCACAGGTGGGAGTTGACAGGTGCAGGTGGGCACGATGTGTAGTTAAGTGGGAAGGGCCAACAAACGTGGTGGTAGGTTTGCGGGTGGGAGTGGTCAAGAATCACACCAGATTTTTCAGGTGCAGGAGGACCTGATTAGTGGTTGAATTGGGTGGGTACAGATATTAATATTCAGGCCTGTGCAGAAGTCTGCATTAAAGAGGAATGATAGTAAGAGAATGTTGTCCATTATTACCTCCCAGATTCAAAGGTAATGTTCTGTTATGTACTTTTATTGGTAGGGACATTTGTCATTTTGCTGCCTAACTATTCTCAGTTTGGGCGTAGCACAGCCAGAAGGGCAGTGCCATATGGGGCAGTCAGGGCTTAAGTGCACAACCAGGTAAACAGGATGGGATTTACTGGTTCGCCCCAACTAACCCCCAAAGAAAAGCAAGAAAAAGCAAGAAAAACCACTGTGAAAGTGAGAACAGGTCTCTATTTTATCTCTCATCAAAAAATCAGTACATTTTAGAGTTTTATTGAGTTTTCCAAAAATACTTGAAAGCACTAGTCCAGTACTGACATTGACAGAGCCAACAGTGTATCAACCTGCTGCTCAGTGAAACTTACTATGTTAGCAGGCTAGCTCCACAGGTTGCAATAGCAGGGACAGATAGGGGGCGCCAAACAAAACAGGTCCTGTGAAAGGTAAGGTCCGTCACTGCGGGGAGGTCATCACTGGTTTTATTTTAATAGGGATGGGCATGAAATTTTGATCGGAGTTAAAAGTCATGGCCCAACAGCATTCAGTAACATTCAGTAACATTAATTGCAGGTTGCAAGACTCAATGTAAATGAGGTCTAATTATTAAGTATCACCTGAGTGTTGTTTATTCACTGAACACTGTGGCAGGGTAATGTCATTTCAGTTAGTTTTCATTAAATTGTGCCACTAGTGGTCTTTGTTGGATCCACTGTTTGAGTTCATTATTATGGTGTGTATAAGAGCAAGAATTATTATGAGATCAGCCCTGCCAGCATACTGACAGATACAATACATACACAAATCTGTATTTTACGTATTTCTTCATGTTGTTGCAAGTAGGGCTATCGGGAAAGGATCAAAGGGGCAGGAGAGGATCAATAACATAAATCCAGGTCATCCTACCTGGATGTGGGGGCTCATCCTGGACATCAACATCATCCTACTTTTGGTACCTTTACAAGTGGGGGCTCGTCTGGGATTTGAACCCATGACTTCAACATCAGTGTAAACCATCCTACCTTTGGTACCTTTACAGCACTGAAATGATGTTCACCTGTTTGAAAACTAGTCAAATTACTTATAATCCAAATACGGATAAATGTGAAATTGCCCATCCCTAATTGTTATCAGAATGCGCTGGCATTGGTTCCCCATTCAGCTGAAGAAAACCACAGTGACATAATACTAACACTGCCATTTCACTCCATCAAAATCCACGATCTAAACCCACTTTCCAAAAAACATGCCCATATAAACCAGTCCAGCAGTTCCTGTGCGTCATGTGTGTTCACATGAGGTGAGTTCAGGCAGCGGAGGCTGGTCCTGAGTGTGTGATAGCGGTTGTGTGTTAGCAGCACGGCTTGGGGGGGCAGAGTTTTTCTGCAGTTCCAACCCGAATGCCGGAGGAGCGCTCTGAAGCTGTCTCCGATACTGCACGAAGCTGCACGTCTTCAGAATGATGGCCAGGATGTTCTTGCCCATGAGTATCCCAGACACCCTGTTGTCTTTGTAAAGAAGCATGTTCCCTCCACGTATGAAAAGCGTGATGATGTTGATGGTCACCAGGCTGAGTATGGGGTACAGCATCATCTTGTGAGGGCTGATGTTAATGCCTTGCATGCTAATCTCGCTTAGCGACACGCAGGGCAGGACCAGCAGCAGGATGTAACAGTAGAAGAACATCAATCCCTCGGCCCACAGTGGCAAGCCTTTCTTCTGCGGCTCCCACAGATTGGCCTGGATGTCCAGAACATCCAGCAGGTCCACCACCACCCAAAAAAGGCGATTTCGGATCTCCTCCTTCTTCTTAAACACTCTCACATACTCCATGTGGTCAATGGCCACCAGAATGACAAAAAGGACGGGGATGCAGACAGACAGCAGTAAGGTCAAAGCTTTCCTAGCCAGAGCGTCCAGACTCTTACGGTCCGCCTTGTAGTTCTGGTACACAAAGTACACTTTAATCTCCAGGACAAAGATGTAAAGGAACCAAAGGATCATGGCGTAGCCACGTTTGGCCGTCCGAACTTCGGCGCCCACCCAGACGGCCACGTACCGCAGCACTATCAGAAAGCACAGGTCCCCCACCGTCACCATGATGCAGATTCCCACCTTCCGCGGGCCGTGGTTCTGCTCCACCAGGTAAGCGTCCATCAGTGCCATGCTGCTCATGATGATGATGGTGGACAGGCACACATGCGGCTTGTTGGTGGGAGGGGGTGGGACCATCCTGCCTCTCCCTGATTGGTTCTGGGACACTCCTTGCGAATGTTTGGAAGAGATCAAATCCCTGGAACTGACCACATGGCCACCTCCATCATCCAGGAATCGCTAACTGAGAACGCTCAGATCACCTGGAGGGTAACTCTGTAGCCTGGAGATCATGAGGCATCTGTGAAAATGGAGAAAACAATGAATTAATCTGTAAAAATGTAGAAAATGATTAAATAATCAGTGAAAACTACTGAATAATGGATGAAGTGAATAATGAATAATCTGTGAAAAAAAAATTAAAACCACGAAATGATCTGTGAAAAAGAGAGAAAATGGTGAATAATCTGTAAAAATTATTAAATAATTGGCAAAGTGAAAATCTAAATGTTAAAATGATCTGTGTAAAAGGAGAAACTGGTGAAATGATTAGTAAATATTATGCACATTTTTGGTAAAAATTAAGAAACTGTTGAAATAATCTAAGAACAAAGAACGACAAAGCAAATAGTGCCCAGTTTAATGTACAGTATTAGTAACTTATGAATAAAACCAAGAGGACACATTTTTATTCCAAACCGGCACTTTCTCACTCAGCCTTCCACAATCTGAGAGAAATCTGAGCTCTGACGTCAAATATATTTTTATAACTGATCTAAAAACAGCAGCTCATATTTAACACAGAGATCCGGTCTCGTTCATTTCGTCAGAGGAATGCAAAAGAACCAAAACGATAAACTTACTTACTTTCCCCAAAATTTACATTCCTTAATTCCTCCGAGAGAGAGGAGAACATTCCGAGATGAAAAGAACAGCACAGCGATCCATGACTGAGTCGGAGAGAAAACGCAGAGATCCCCAAAGATCTGCGCTCTGCAGCGGTAAATCCAGCCGGCATGGAGCTCCACTCTCTCTCTCTCTCCCTCGCTCACTCCCTTTAAGCTGAAGTTAAAAATAATAATAATGAAATCCCAAAAATATCTGCGAGTTAATCCAGCGAGGGCTCAGACGCTGCTGATGGTCTCAGAGCGGAGAGGAAAGAAAAGAGGGATTTCTGCTCCTCCTTCAGCTCCTCATCTCTCAGGAGGAACCAGAGCGATAAAAACTCACCATCACAGACAAACTTCAGCAGCAAAATCCACAAACATCACATCACATCACATCACAGCACCGTGATTCTCCACATCAGGACGATCAGCACCCCGAACACAGCAGAGAGAGAGAGAGAGAGAGGGAGAGAGAGAGAGAGAGAGAGTATCCGGTGATGCAGGTGTCGGAGCTCTGCTGTGTGTGTGTGTGTGTGTGTGTGTGTGTGTGTGTGTGTATGCTGTGTGTGTCCGTCTCTCTGGCTGCGGATGACTGGAGCTCTACTGCCCGAACCACTAGAGAGGGAGAGAGAGAGAGAGAGAGAGAGAGAGAGAGAGCAAGAGAGAGCGGGAGATAGAATAAGGTGAGCAAGAAAGGAATGACAGAGTGAATAAAGAGAGAAAGAAAATGAAGAGAGGAGAAAGAGAAAGAAAAAAGAAAAAGGACAGAGAAAAGAGAGAAGGGAGAAAAGGGAACGAGAGAGATAGAGACAGACAAAAAGGAGAAAATGAGAGAGAGAGAGAGAGCGAGAGAGGAGACTGTGTCCCTCTGCCTTTTCCACTTAGCCACCAGCTCACACTGACTTCCCCTCCCCCATGCTCTCTCTCTTTATTCTCTCTCTCTCTTTCGCCTTTTCTGTCTCTCTCTTTATTCTCTCTCTCTCTTTCGCCTTTTCTGTCTCTCTCTCTTTATTCTCTCTCTCTTTCTGTCTCTCTTTCTTTATTCTCTCTCTCTCTTTCGCCTTTTCTGTCTCTCTCTTTATTCTCTCTCTCTCTTTCGCCTTTTCTGTCTCTCTCTCTTTATTCTCTCTCTTTCTGTCTCTCTCTCTTTATTCTCTCTCTCTCTTTCGCCTTTTCTGTCTCTCTCTCTTTATTCTCTCTCTCTCTTTCGCCTTTTCTGTCTCTCTCTCTTTATTCTCTCTCTCTTTCTGTCTCTCTCTCTTTATTCTCTCTTTCTTTCGCCTTTTCTGTCTCTCTCTCTCTTTATTCCTTCTCTCTTTCGCCTTTTCTGTCTCTCTCTCTTTATTCTCTCTCTTTCTCTTGCTCTCTCCTTGTCTACCTTTCTCTTTCCCTCATTATTTTTTTCTTTGCTTCCTTATTTCCTTTTTTCCTCTCTCTTTCTCTCTGTACTGCCCCCTCCACACTGTCTTACTGTCTCTCTGTATTCTCTCTCACTCACTCACTCACTCTCTCTCTCTCTCTAGCTCTCTGTATCACTTAATTTCCCTTCTTATTCTAAGAAAGAGGGAGCTTTTTCTTTCCTTCTTTTCTTCTTTCATCTTTTATCCTCTTTCTCTCTCTCTCTCTCTCTCTCTCTCTCTCTCTCTTTGTGTCTCTATCCTTTCCTCTCTCTTGGACGATGCAACTGCACAGAAACAGTGACAGAGCCAGAAAGAGAGGGAGAGAGAGAGAGAGAGGTAGAAAGAGGAAGATTCAGAGAGGGTGTTTATTCAGAATGATGGAGGGATCAGGATGTTTGGTCTCCCACTCCCACACTCTTCACCCTCTGTTCCTCCAGTCAGATCTGAGCTTATGGTTTACTGAAGGTTTTGTCTCATTCTTTCGTTCTTCACCTGAACAGACTCCAACACCAACACCGAGAGGAGAGATACAAACCCACACAATCAGAGAGAGAGAGAGAGAGAGAGAGAGAGAGCGAGAGAGAGAGGGGGAGAGAGAGACATTGCCACCCCTGGTGGAGGCATCTTATTGATCTTGTGACAGTGAGTCAGAATACAGAGACAGAGACAGAGCGGATGACTGAATGGAGAGAGAGAGAAAGGTTAAATGAATGTGAATCTCTCTCGTCCTGTTGACAGAACAGAGGTAGTAACACTTTCACCTCATTCTGTTTCCAGCAGGACTTTCATATCATGTTCATATTCACTCAGATTTCTCTGGAGAAGATTGATCAGTCACGGTGCAACGCAGGAAAGATCCTAAACACCATCAGCGTTAAACAAACATGCTGGAACAGATCAGAGCCAGCGGCAAGAGGATGTAAGTGCGAGTGAGGTACAAGATCAGTCTGATAAGCAGGAATAGAGAGAGTACCAAAGCACAGGACGAGAAAACGTACAGAAACTAGGAGCCCACAAGACGGCAGGAACTACAGGAGGAACGCAGCTCAGCATTATTAGGAAAATGACCTAAAAGACAAAAAGCTTATAAAAAGCATAACTGGGCACAGATTAGACAGGAAAGCTACACTCTCAAGGTTTCTTGGTCTTAGGGTGTTTTTCTTGACACTGTCCTTCTTGGTGATGCTCATAGGGGCTTCGACCCGGATTTTTATTTTTTTTTATCTTGTGAGAACACCTGTTGTAAATAAAATGCTATATAAATAAACTTTGACCGTGACTTTGAACAGACTGATCACTAAGAAGTGGCTTGTTGAGATCAGCAGAGGTCTCTGGTTTGCAGAGACAAGTTGAGGTTAATGGCTTGAAGGGATCAGTGGAGGGTTCTGACTTGTAGGGATCAGTGGAGGGTTCTGGCTTGTAGGGATCAGTGGAGGGTTCTGGCTTGTAGGGATCAGTGGAGGGTTCTGGCTTGAAGGGATCAGTGGAGGGTTCTGGCTTATAGAGACCAGCGGAGAGCGTAGGACTGTGTTAAAGAGCATTGGACTATGGGCCTCTTGTCCTGGAGAGTCATGAGAATTGAACTGCTGTGTAAACATCTGGCTCAATAATTCTATTCTAGAGGTCAAATCTGTCACATGCTGAAGGCATCATGACACAAAATTGAGGCAACTTGTGAAAACCAATGAATATACATGAGCATGGTGAATCAGACTAAAAACAAGAGCTAGAGTACAAACAAAATAGCATAAACACATAAGAAGAGGGGTGTGAAATCAGGAAGGTTTTACACAAAGCAGGATTTCTCAGTATGCTGGATAACTTAGGCCAAAAGTTGAGGATTGTCCAGTACGAATTTTCCTTAGTTTTTCTCTTATTGGACAGGCTTGTTTTTTGGCCTACATAATCAGGAAATCCTGCTTTGTGAAAAAAAACAGCACAATAAGCTAAAAAACATAAACAAAACACAAACACATGACCTAAAGTCATTTGCAAAAGTTTGTGCACCCCTGGTCAAATTCCATGTTGTTGTTGATTTTCTGAGTGTAAATAAGTTACACATCCTCTACTGAGACACAATAATACACAATTACTGTTTGTTTGCTGAATTTACCACATAATCAACAGGACACATAATTTGACCGGGAGCATCCAAGCTTTTCCATTTGACTGTATATTAAGTCAAGTCAAGTCAAATTCATTTATATAGCGCCTCGGCGACAGTGGCAAGGAAAAACTCCCTCAACAGGAGGAAGAAACCTCAAGAGGAACCAGACTCAAAAGGGGAACCCATCCTCCTCTGGTTCACACCAGATAACAGCACAGACACAAAACAGTATAAGTGGATACAGTTTTACAGTTCAGTGTTGGGTATGGAGTTAAGAGGCCTTTGTACAGTGAAGACCACACAAGGATCCACATAGCACAAGGCTCTACGATGCACACGGGCAACCCATCCAATCATGGCAGACGAAGCGACAGCACCACACAGGACGGAGCTCCGGCCGCATCAGACCCCCCTGGGACGGGATTGAGTGGTGTTCAAATAAGACCCTCTTGGGACGGGCATATTAACAAGGTGGAAGTAAGGTGAAACCAATAGGGGGTCTGGAGACAGGATAGAGAACTCCTGACTTTAACTAATGGTGCATTCAGATGGTTCTTGTAGACTTATGAATTTCTGAGTTTACCACAAAGAAGCAGCCTGATTCTCTAAAGCAGTGGTCACCAGCCCTGCTCCTGGACATCTACCTCCTACAGGTTTCACTCCCATCCCAAATATAGCACACCTCATTCAGCTAATCAAGGTCTTCTGTAGGAAAAATTTGATGGATCAGGTGAGGTCAATTAGGGTTGAAGTTAAAGTCTTCAGGAAGAGTAGATCTCCAGGAGCAGGGCTGCCCTTCAAAAGGCAGCAGGGATTCCCCTGGGGATGTTTACAGAGGTGAAGGTTACACAAGTTTTCGTTTAATTTTTCAATTTTATTGTAAATCCAAAAAGA